TGTCTATGTGATTCTCTCTCTCTCTCTCTCTCTCTCTCTCTCTCTCTCTCTCTCTCTCTCTCTCTCTCTCTCTGTGTATGTATGTGTGTGCTTACATGTACCTATTTATGCTTGTGGAATTATGTGTAAGGAAGCTTTCTTCTCATTTAGGGGTAAGGGAAGAAGGAGGTGGGGTGAAATGGACGGGAAATAACAATAAATGGCAACTGTCAGATGCATCGAATCTAAAAATTTAATGCACATGAGTCGAGCAACGAATGGCTTTTATTATACTACCCCTTTGTAGGGGAAAATGAAAAAACACAAGAAGCACTTCTTCAGTGTTTCTCTAGTACCCTCCTAGGCACGTACGACAAGACTGTACCGGGCCTCTCACGTTCGTCCGGATGGACGCGATAGCACATGAGAGATGAGGGACTGTGATAATCCTGGGCCTGCCACTCATATTGGAACACTGCTGCTAATGTGTCTTTCCGTGTCCTACCGAGCAATTTGTTATGATATTTGAAGTTTTTGTCACCACATAGGGGGCTGCTCTATAGCTAAATCGTACCTGCGCTCAATAGAATGGCACAAAAATTGTTTGACGGCAGTAGAATTTAATTTTAAATTTTATTACGAAACCAGTTATACCGGCCTTTTTGTACGCAAAACAGGCTGTACAAAAGACTGTTTGTTTCAACAACTTTTGGCGTGAAAAGCGGACGAGCTATACCAAACGTTCAAACTTTTCCTCGTCTCAACTTGCTTGGGTTTTCTGTTAAATTCGCATTTTTGTGCAACCTCCACACAGTTGTGAGATTCAGACTTCCCTCCACTTGTATGTTCTACGCGCATGACACGTTTATAAACGATAATCATGGGGTAGTGTCGGAGCAAATGGTATTAAGACGACTCTGGTAGGTGCTATTGCCTTTCTTTCCTTCCCTGTGTGTGGGTGGTTGGCGGGTGCTCTGGTGTGGTTTGTTTCTTCTTTCCTGTCAAACATCTGTCGTCCTTATCTCCCCTTCATCTTTTTATGTTTGTTACTCTCTTGTAACAGCTCTAATTTTCTGGCGCTCATATGACCTTATGCAGTTGCAAGCGCCGTAATACCTCTACTAAAACTTCCCCGTGTGTCTTCCTTTTCTTTGTATTTAATAACTAATATTAGGTCCTTGTTTTTCCCTGTATTAAACTGAAGAAGATGTCTGAGTTCGTCAAGGCCTGTTACTGTGATGTATGTCCCATAGAGACAACCGTGTGCTGAGGTCTCTGATCAAACTGGTGTTATTCGAGGTGTATTATTTTGACTGTCAAATAAGTCCCTATAGATGCATTTGCGCCTCACGGGGGCACGTTTTGACAAAATGACAGCTTTAACAATGACATGAATAACCTCACCCACCACCACCATCACAACAACAACAACAACAAGAAAAACAACAACAGCAGCAACAACAGCACATCGACACAACAACCACAACAGTAACAACACCTACAAAAAACAACAACAACAACAACAACGACAACAATATCACTAATATAATAAGCAACAGCAAAAATAGCAACAGAAGTTCTTATGACGAGACGCAGGCACTTGTATACCGTTTGAGTTTTTACCGAGGTAGCCAAGAAAGCAGAAACAGGAAAATGTTACATTACTGAAGTACCTGGCTGTCCGACCGTGATGATAATGAGGCCTGTGCTGCAGCAGGCCAACTGCTTCTATTTCTAGATTTGAGTGGGTTTGGGTTCAACGAAGGCCACCGCGGACAACACGAGAACAGGTGCCTGCTAGTTATGGGAGATGGTTCTTCTGGTCGCTCGTCGGGGGGCAAAACTAATGTATACATTATACATGGAAGTTATGATGAAGAGAATATGGCTTTCGTCTTTCTGGTAGAATGTGTTTTTGTGAACAGGAGATCGCAGGGTTTTTTCTTCTTCTGTTTTTGCGTTTTGTCTTATTTTCGTTCTTTGCTTGTCTTATTTTCGTTCTTTGCTTGTTTTTTTCATTATTTGTGCTGGGGGTTTGGGAAATGCCGGTTGTTTCTTCTGAGGCGTACTGGAATTTCGACAACTTGAAATCTCTCTCCCCC